TCGACGAGTGCGACGCGTACGTCAACCCGTGCCTCAACAATGGCGTCTGCATCAACGTCGACGGCAACTTCACGTGCGTCTGCGCCGACGGCTACAGCGGTGACTTCTGCGCGATCGGCGGCGGCGTCGTCGGCCCGACTATCTCTCTCAGCACCGGCGCGCTGGCTGCCGTGCTCGTCTGCATATTCCTATTGCTTCGTAAGTCGCCACGGCAACGCGCATCCGTTGCCACGGCGACGCGGGTTGCTGCATCGCCAGGGCAACGCGCGGCCGTTGCCACGGCGACGCGGGTTGCTGCGTCGCCTCGGCAATGCGCGACCGTTGCCACGGCGACGCGGGTTGCTGCGTCGCCAGGGCAACGCGCGGCCGTTGCCACGGCGACGCGGGTTGCCGCGTCGCCAGGGCTCTGGTAGGATAGGATGACATGCGTGAGAGTTAGAATTGCAACAGGAGTGCAAGAGATAGTGTTGTCGTATATCGAAGTTAATTGCTGAAGTCTGTTCCACCAATTGCAGTCAAATTATTCATGTAAAGAGTGGTGGTTTGATTTTTGATTAGAGAGAGAGAGCGAGAGAGCGAGGAGAGAGAAAGAGAGGATAGAGGGAGAGAGGGAGAGAGAGCGAAAAAGATAGAGAGAGAGGGGGGAAGACAGGGAGGACAAGAAAGAAAGAGAAATATAGTAAGAGAGAAAGAAAGGAGAGAACGAGAGAGGAAGAAAGAAAGAGAGAGAGAGAGAGAAAGAGAGAGAGAGAAAAAGCGAATGCAAAATTCACACAATAACGCAACGCCAAATTACCCAATGTAACATTCCTTCTCGCGGAGGAGGCGGCGGCATCGCTGCAGGAACCCTCCAGCATAGGTTGCTACAAATATATATTTATTATATTTACATTTATAATATTTATTATTATTATAATTATATCAGGAGCTAATAATGACAACATTGTCATTATTAGCTCCTGATTATATATATATAAAATATATTATACAATAGAATATACGAAATATATAAATAAGATATAAATAGATATTGCCGGCGTGTCTCTGCTTTGCAGTGCTATACTGCTGTTTGTCCTGTCTTCCATCTGCCCGACGCAAGGCCGGCCCGACAAGACTCCGTTCGACTTCAGCAGTGAGATGACCATCCGCCCCGAGAACATTCATCCACTACACGGACGAGGGAGCGGCGGCGAGGAGGACCAGGACACGTACGTCAGTATCACTCCCCTCGGCACCAGTGCGTAGTTAGGCATTTGTTTCAGCGGGGCGGGGGGGTGGGCACTGGGATGGGCCTTACATTTTAATCGTGGGGGGGGGGGCACGAATATATACTTTTTTTGTTGTTATATTACTGTTCTACGGCAATTGTTTTCTAATTCATATTTTTTTTTATCAAGCAATGAATATTTCAGTGGCGGGGCACCTGGGGGGGCACAGAAAATTTCGTGGGCAGGGCACGCTTGCCCCCCCGCGCGCCCCCGTAACTACGCCCCTGCTCACCAAGAGGACGCTAAACCTATAACAAAGCGAGAGAAGCGCCCGCCATTGGCCATTGGGGCTGAATTTTGGTTCGGCGGAGACCTTAGAACAGATAATTAAGTGTTCTATTGTCTCTGTTCGCTCTGCACATGGAACTGTTTCAGTCTGATTATGGTCCATTAGATGGCGCCCTTTGTAGCCGAAAAACGACACAGCCATCGCTTTCCTCTCCTTGTTATATTTAGCTCCTTGCCCCTCGCGAGCTTCTCCGGGCCTGTCCGCGAGCGTTTGTGTCAGCTCTCATGCGTTCGGTCGCTGCCTCACTGCTTTCGCACTGCCCACGCCTCCTTTTAGTTCGCTTTGGTCCTCACTCCATTCTGTCATGACCTCCTTGCGCTGCTTCTCGCTGCCATCGTTCCTACATCGGCTTTGCCGGTCATTCAGCTTCATCGCTGCTTTTTGTTCGTCGCTCCCTTTATTCTTGCTGCCTCAGCCTCCTCTATTGGCCTGCTCGCTCCCTTCATCTGCTGCTCGCTCCCTCTATCTGCTGCTCGCTCCATCTATCTGCTGTCGCGTCCCTCTATCTACTGCTTCGCCTCCCTCTATCTGCTGCTCGCCCTCCCTCCATCTGCCTTTGCTCGACTCCCTCACATCTGTGCTCGCTCCCTCTATCTGCTGCTCGCTCCCTCTATCTGTGCTCGCCCTCGCCTCTATTGCTGCTCGCTCCCTCTATCTACTGCTCCGCTCCTCTATTCTGCTGCCCTCGCATCCTCCAGATATGCTGCTCGCTCCCTCCATCTGTCTCGCTGCCCTCTATCTTGCTGCTCGCTCACCTCTATCTGCTGCTCGCTCCTCATATCCTGCTGCTCGCTCCCTCCATCTGCTGGCTCGCTCCCTCCATCTGCTGCCTCCATCTGTCGCTAGTCATGTCGCGCCTCCCTCCCATTCCACCACCCCCCTGCACGCCCTTCCAACTCACCGCCCTACCTCCTGTTTCACCTTCCCCTCACCTTCTCCTGCTGCTCGCCCATCTGCCAATCAGTGCAGCTCATTGACCGAATCCTATGTTAGTGATACACCATTTACATACATCGTTACCTGTCTATTGTAAGGACACTAGAGGATGCTTCCTTAAAGTGATCAACGGCTTACGTGGTTTGCACTATCATTTCTCACTCGTTAGTATGTGCTTGCGACGACAGCCTCAGCTGTTAACCTGCAGTGTTTAATTCACAGTACGACAATCTGCTGCTCTGGCGAAACCTGTCCAGCAAGCAACGCGTCGAGCGCTTTGAAGCGAGCGCCGTACGCGAGGCACGCGCCGGAGCCAGTCAGGCGGCCACTGAGAACAAGCGCCACCTCATGGCGTAAGCATGGTCCATATTGGCATTCTTCCCCCCAAGCGCTTTCTTGCATTTGGCTTTTAGTGGAAGCTAAAAACACGTGGGGGAAACATACTCGCGGGTGACCGCTCTTAGGTATTAGTTAATTAGGGCGTTATCATCTTGGTGCGAGTACTTGTCTCCTTCGACAGACCATACATTACGTACACTCTCTAGCCTAGTAGTTAATATGTGCATCTCTCGTCTATCGTGGCAGTGTGTCATGTATACTAACACCCTCTAGCTAGTTAGTTAATATGTGATCTCTCTCTTTATCGCGGCAGGGTAGCCATACTAACGACCTCTAGCTCAGTAGTATATGTGAATCTCTCTCTATTCGTCGCAGCTGTACAATCTCTGTGATTATATATAAATCCTACACCTCTGGTAGTAATTAATGTTGATGCATCCTCTCTCTATGTGGCAGCGAATGTACATTAACTAACACCATTAAGCTAAGTAGTTATATTGTGGATCTCTCTCTATCGTGGGACAGGCTGTACATGTATAACTACACACTCTCTAGCTAGTAGTTAATGATGTGATCATCTCTCTATTCGTGGCAGAGTGTACATGTATACTAACCCACTCTACCTCGGCTGTATTAATATGTTGATCTCTTTCTATCGGCTGAGCAGAATGTGTACATTAGTATAGCTACACCCTCTACCGTAGTGTAATATGTGATTCTCTCTCTATCGTTGGCAGGTTGTACAGTGATATACTAACACTCTGGCTAGTCAGTTACATATGTGATCTCTTCTCTATTCCGTAGGCAGGTGTACATAACTAACACCCGTCTAGCTTAGTAGTTAATATGTGATCTCTCTCTATCGCTGGCAGGTGTAAACATACATTACTTAACAAACCCTCTAGCTAGTAGTTAATATGTTGATCTCTCTCTATCGTGGCAGTGATACTACTAACACCCTCTAGCTACAGTAGTTAATATGTGTATCTCTCTCTATCAGTGGCAGGTGTACATACTTAACACCTCTAGCTAGTAGTTAATTATGTGATCTCTCTCTATCGTGGCAGGATAGTACATCGTATACTAACACCCTCTAGCTAGTAGATTAATATGTGATCTCTCTCTATGGCGGGCAGGGTAATGTATACTAACAACCGCTACTAGCTAACGTGTTAGTTAATGTGGACTCTCTCTCATGCGCTGCAGTGTACATACTAACACCCTCTAGCTTAGTAGTTTATATGTGCATCTCTCTCTATCGTGGCAGGTGTACAGTAACTAACACGTCTAGCTAGTAGTTTAATATGTGTCTCTCTCTTGCGGCGGTGGTACTATACTAAACACCTCTCAGCTAGTGTTATATGTGATCTCTCTCTATATGGCAGGCTGTACATGCTATAACTAACACCTCTAGCTAAGTAGTCTAATTACCTGAATCTCTCTGCTATGCAGCAGGCTGTACATACTACACGCTTCTAGCATAGTAAGCTTAATATGTTGATCTCTCTTCTATTGTGGCAGGGTGTGTACAGACTTACACCTTCTAGTAGTAGTTAATATGTGATCTCTCTCTTATCGGTTGCAGGTGATACATACTAACACCTATCTATGCTAGTAGTTAATATGTGATCGTCTGCCTCTATGTGTGGCAGCGGTTACATTACTAACACCTATCTAGCTAGTTAGTATAATATGGTGATCTCTCTTCTTATCGTAGGCAGGTGTACATACTAACACCGTCTAGCTAGTAGTTGAATAATGTGAATCTCCATNCCTCCCCCCTCACCTTCTCCCTCCCTGCTCACCCTCCCCCTCACCTTTTCCCTCCCTGCACGCCCCTCCCAACTCACCCCCTACCTTCCTGTTAACCCTCCCCCTCACCTTCTCTCTGCCTGCTCGCCCCCTCTGCAATCAGTGCAGCTCATTGCCGAAAGCTATGCTAGCGTACACCTTTACATACATCTTACCTGTCTATCTGTAAAGGACACTAGAGGATGTTCCTTAAGTGATCCACGCGTACGTGTTTGCCTATCATTTCTCACCTGTTAGTATTGCTTGCGGACACAGCTCAGCTCGTTAACCTGCGTTTATTCACAGGTACGACATCGCTGCTCTGCGCAAACCTGTCCAGCCGAGCAACGAGTCGAGCGTTGAAGGAGCGCCGTACGCGAGGCACGCGCCGGAGCCAGTCAGGCCACTGAGACAAGCGCCACCTATGCGTAAGCTGCGTCCTTATTGCATTCTTTCCCCCTCCCCCCTTCACACCCCCACAAGGTTTTGCATTTGTTTTAGTGGAAGTAAAAACACGTGGGGGAAAATACTCGCGGTGTAACGCTCTTAGTTATTAGTTATTAGTGCGTTATCTCTTGGTGCGAGTACTTGTCTCCCTCGACAGACATACATACTAACACTCTCTAGCTAGTAGTTAATGTGTGATCTCTCTCTATCGTGGCAGGTGTACATGTATACTAACACCTTCTAGCTAGTAGTTAATATGTGATCTCTCTCTATGCGGCAGGTGTACATGTATACTAACACCCTCTAGCTAGTAGTTAATATGTGATCTCTCTCTATCGTGGCAGGTGTACATACTAACACCCTCTAGCTAGTAGTTAATATGTGATCTCTCTCTATCGTGGCAGGTGTACATGTATACTAACACCCTCTAGCTAGTAGTTAATATGTGATCTCTCTCTATCGTGGCAGGTGTACATACTAACACCCTCTAGCTAGTAGTTAATATGTGATCTCTCTCTATCGTGGCAGGTGTACATACTAACACCCTCTAGCTAGTAGTTAATATGTGATCTCTCTCTATGCGGCAGGTGTACATACTAACACCTTCTAGCTAGTAGTTATTACATGATCTCTCTCTATGCGGCAGGTGTACATACTAACACCCTCTAGCTAGTAGTTATTACATGATCTCTCTCTATGCGGCAGGTGTACATGTATACTAACACCCTCTAGCTAACACCTGCCACGATAGAGAGAGATCACATATTAACTACGTGTTAGTATGTCCTCTAGCTAGTAGTTAATATGTGATCTCTCTCTATCGTGGCAGGTGTACANGGGTGGGTTGGGGGCAGGGGGTAGATAAAAAAAACGGCACAAACATCATTGTCAGTCGCAAGTGAACCGCCATTCGCTGTCGAATTTCATATTAGTTTTATTTTTCCAGTGCCAATCACATCGCCGTAACCGGATAAACATACAGAGGACACGGAGAACACGACATACTACGAAGTGCGCAGAGCTATACGTACACCTCTGATGCGACCTGTGTTTGGAGATACCATTCGTACTGATTTTATACATTCATGATATATTTCTTTATTTTTTATTATTTAAATATTATTAGAGGATTATTGGTTAAATTAAAGCATGAGCGCGTAATTAAAAGCCTTGAGTAAACCCACCAATTTATATCAATTGTAAATGGAACTTGTAAAATTGGGTTTCACAAGAGATTGTAAAACGTATTAGGCCTTATGGTAAAAACAATTTATCGGTCAGCCTTTTATAAACGAATGTGGTTACAAATTTCATATATAAATAGTATATTTTGATCTAGTTAATATTCCTCTCATTCGCTAGTAAGTTATGTATCTGAACATGTGCTCTCACACTTGATTTTTCGCGTGTGATTTGTACGTCTTTCTGACAACGGTCCCCTGATTATAAACTCACGTTTTTAAACTTATTATTACATATATTACAATTGCGTATATTATAGTCTACACGCGTGTGTATTAGCACATGCTTTCACGATTGAAATGCTTTTTAATAAATATACTCAAACTAAAAATAAAAATTTCGAGGTACTTTTTATATGATTGCGATTATTTATAAGATGCCCACAATAATTTGTAAAAGAAAGCTCTACATGTTTCAGTAAAGAGTCAAGTGGTAGGATAATACAGTGCAGTGAATCACTGGTTGCAGTGGTGGGAATCTCCGTATGTAGAGTAGAATAAACTAGAGCAGTAGAGGAGTAGAGAGTAGAGTCCAGTGCAGTAGAGCAACAGAGCAGTAGAGTCCAGTGCAGTAGAGCAACAGAGCAGTAGAGTCCAGTGCAGTATAGTCCAGTGCAGTAGAGCAACAGAGCAGTGAGTCCAGTGCAGTAGAGCAACAGAGCAGTAGAGTCCAGTGCAGTAGAGTAACAGAGCAGTGGAGTCCAGTGCAGTAGAGCAACAGAGCAGTGGAGTCCAGTGCAGTAGAGTAACAGAGCAGTATTGTAGAGCAGTAGAGCAGAGTACAGTTCAATAGAGCAGCAGAGCAGTATAGTAGAGCAGTAGAGTACAGTGCAGTAGAGCAGAGTAGAATGCAGGAGAGTTGTTGTTGTTGTAGAAGTTGTTGCTGCGTGGTCCTTGACCCTGACCTTGACCGTGACATTGTCCTTGACCGTGGCCTCGACCAATTTTCCCATTTCTAAACTTTTCCGTGGCCTTGAGTTCAAGGCCATGGCCTTGAGCTCAAGGCCATTACATTTTCCAATTTTTAAGATTTTCCGTGGCCTTGAGCTCAAGGCCATGGCCTTGAGTTCAAGGCCATGACCTTAGGCTCAAGGCCATTGCATTTTCCAATTTAAAAATTTCTACATAACTAGGCCAAGGCCATAGCCTTGAGCTCAAGGCCATATCCTTGAGCCACTTTCAAAATGTTTACATCACTCGATTGAAGTCATGGTCATGGTCAAGTTGTGTTTATATTTTGCCTAACAACATCTCGAAAATATCTTACCGTGGTACTTGACAAGATTTGAACCCGGGACTATTGAGTACCAGCCCAGCACCATACGCTAGCACCCAAACCCACCATTACTTATCTGTTCAGAACGAATGTATGTGTTACATTTTACTCAACAAGAGTTTGAAAATATTTTAATAAGTTACCTCACAAGAATTGAACTCGGGACAACACGGTCATATTCCAACGTGTTACGCACACGCCTAAACGTACACTTTCTGAGTGGTTCAGATCTGATGTGTGTGTTACGTTTTCGTTTAACAGCAAGAAAAGTCAACAAAGTCATTGCCGAGCATAGATTTTAACGTGGAAATTTTCATTTATAAACGAGATAGAAATACTTGTACAGACTTTCGTGCAAAAAAATTTATGATTGATAGCGATCCTTGAAATCTCTACTCGCGACTTCCGACTCATTTTGCCAAATCAACACACACGTTTATAGCCGATTTTAGCATGAACATCTCCTGCGGACGCTAAGTCGCCAAAATGCCTACATCCCCTTTACCTATACATTAGCATAGGGAGAGATTTATGGCGGGTAGTACCCCTCAAAGGAAGGAGGGAGGTCGCGTTTTACGATGCGAACCACATGCCTGGCTCTCTCTCTCTCTCTCTCTCTCTCTCTCTCTCTCTCTCTCTCTCTCTCTCTCTCTCTCTCTCTCTCTCTCTCACACACACACTCTCTCTCTATATCTCTATCGCTCTCGCTCTCGCGCTCTCTCTCTCTCTTTCTCTCGCTCTCTCTCTCTCTCTCTCTCTCTCTAATATCCTCGCGTATAGAGAAACGTTGTACCACCTAGAACTGTCGCTGTGGTGCTAGGGCCTGCGAATCAAGCAAGACTGCCATTTTCATATTCGGCCCTTGTGACAATTCTAGACAGACATGGCGGCGATGTGATTACATCACAGGCTGATGCTGCTATTTTCCTTGGCTCCATGATCTATCCAACATGTGTGCGCGCGTGTGGCTCTGTATCTATATTTTGAGATAAAATCGAGGTATTTGATATCCACATTCGATAAAAAAAAACTTGCTATCCTCGTAACAAGCCGTACGTCAATATCATAATCGGAAATGCTTCACATTAATTAATAAATTAGGTAATTATAAATTATCAATTAATTAATTAATATTCATTGATTGGTAATTAACTGTAATGAAGATCGGTGGCGCGTACGGGCGCGTGGCCATCGTGGTCGCGTGCGTGCTAGCGACCTGGTCGTCACTTCACACGCTGATCGTGTGTGATCTTGTGAGGTGAACCTATCAGGAATGCATAATATATAGATATTATGCAGGAGTGAATAATAATATATCTATTATAATTCACTCCTGATATATATGTTATACACTCCTGAACTTGTAATGGCGCTCGTTCCAGTTACCGCCTAACACGAGCATGAACTGATACTGCTTGACCAATGCAAGCCCGTGATGATATTTGGGGAAACGAGAGAAGCGTGTATATTAACATTTATAGGCTGTCCACATGTTTTAATTTGTGTAAATTTTAACCATAGATAACATAATAAATGAAATTTTCTACAAAGTATGAAACGCATTCGTTGTGCTTTGTCTGAGGTGTCGCGGAAAGGGAATCACATTAAATCATAGGGGACCCTAAGTTCCTAACCCTATTAGGTCCTGGGAATGGAAGAGCAAAATCCTCATGACTCAACTGGGTCATGAAGTTTACACAATTTCAGTAGGTAATTGTAGTGTAATTAGGTAGAGGATTGTGGCCAGATGCTGCGAGCCAAGTAAACTTTTTTAGATTAAACCGATTTTACGATGTACATCCGTCGCGGACTCGCCCTGTCCATTTTGAGCGCATAGGAGAAATCGGCCGGAGAGAATTATCAACGGCGGCAGTCAACGGCGACCGACGTACGGGCGCTATTTTCATGTGCATTAGCATAGCTGGGAACCGTGACGCGATGCTGCGAGCAAAGTGAAGCATGTAGATCAGATTTTACCATGCACATGTACCCTCGGCCCGCCCGTGTCCAGATTGAACGTATGAGATCGGCCGAAGAAAACCGATGGAAAGCGCGCGAGAGAGAGAGAGAGAGAGAGAGAGAGAGAGAGAAGCGCATGCTCATCATGTACGCAAAGTTTTGGTTTGAAAACTCGTTATTCGTTATTGAATTGTATGTTATTGTGTATACCCACAAAACGAGCATTTATGATCTCTTTAACCTGCTAGTATGTTCAACATAGCCATCGTAGAGCATAATTATGTAAGCAAATATGACCTGCCACCTAGTGTCAGAACTAATTATAAAGCGCGCATATATAAATGAATCACTTTCGTCGGGCCGTGACGGGCTTCTCTCTAGCGAGATATGTGACGGTCAGTAGGCCTATACACGTGGCCGGAAGCGTATCCGCCATGTGCTCTCTGGATCTGTGTTTAGTCGTCAAAGATTCGAGCTGTGACAACTTCGAATGCGCATATTTATTATAAGGTAAGTTAATATATATTGTGTGTGCGTTAGATGTTAGGTCCTAGCTTACGTTTATAATTTACAGGAATTTTTGCTCAGCCGTAGCATCTGTCGTTGCTATGATTTATAATTCATTCCTGTCGTTCACTCGTTTAATTGAGGTTCTTTACGAAATGCTTATGAAAAACCGGTTACGAAAAATGAACGTTTAACGTGTTTATAATAGAAGAACAAACAGTTGCATAACTATAACCTAACTACTAAAACCTAACTACTAAACCTAAAACCAAACTACTAACCTAACTACTAAACCTATTACTAAGTGTGAGAAGGCGAGCGCATGCGAGAGAGAGAGAGAGAGAGAGAGAGAGAGAGAGCGCACGCCAGCGAGATTGAGAGAGGAGCAGATA